TTGCAAGTCAGGCTCTTGTCGCGTTTGGAAAGTCTGCGTGTGCGGGTGTTATTCATTTCCAAAGTCCACGTGTTAAACACAGGGCAAGTCGATCATCCTATAAACTTCAATTTTAATCGATTAAGTCTCGCCGATCTGTGGGCTGATCATTGAAATTGATAGACAAAGAAGTCATAGGGAGTACGGAGCGATCTCATTGGTTGAAACGTGTGGTTCTTATAGTCTAAGGGGGAAATAATTTACTAACTGTATGGTCTAGTTAGTCTGTCCCTTAGTTAGTCTATATTACTTACCTGCTTTGTCCATCCATTCCAACCACCCACTTCCACCGGTAGGACAGCTTCATTTACCCTATGGCTTCGCTGTTTGTAACTTTGTCTATAAATTTCAATAATCGGGCTGATGCTAGACAGTGATAGTCTTCGGAAATTAAAAAATTCGATAAATTTGAGTTTTCCTCCGGCCCAGGCTTGTAGCTTTGCAACTTAAATAGTTTGCTTGCTCTTCCATTCGTTCGCTCCCTCGGAAAATGCTCAAGTTACAGACTATAGGTACTTTTTGCCCCACCTGGCGCTCAGGTCGATGTCGTTTTAATTGATTGAGACGTCAACTCCTCCCCCCTCCCTTTATCCTCCCTTTACCCTCCCCTATAGCTAATGCTCCCTTCCGTATTGCCCACACCCTATCCCCAGCCCCACTCATCTAGATTACTTGTATACATTGTAGTGCCAACATTGATGTCATCTACGGCAGTTTTCGAGCCCTTCTAGAAAGTTGTTCTTTTAATGTGCATATAGACCATATGACCTTTCATTTTTATGCGGACCCTCAAATCAAATTAACACCATCATTGGTGTATTCAAGGGAAGTGCGGAGAAGGAGTAAAGAATGAGGTTTGCAGGCGGAAAAAATGTAGTATTTTCCCTTCTCGTTCGATAGAACTGCATCCGTTTACGACGATAAACGCAACATTCAGGAGTGATGACTTTGGCTTTGGTCCATTTTCAATGCTCGAAGAGTTTACAAGTAGCGGCTGAACTATGACAATAAATTGACTGCATTTTGCAATAAGGAACTACTATCTCTGGCTCATCTATGAGAGAAGAAAAAAGTTTGCCCATCTTTCTAAAGAAACTATTGGCACATGCATTGTTCCTAAACGAGGCAGTAGTAGTTCCTTATTGCGAAATGTGGTCCAAATAGTCCTTACGGTAGCGTCGGGTGAAAACCATCGTTCACGGCAAGGCATTTTCTTTTAGAGGGAGATCCAGGATGAAAAAGACATTTCTTTGTTTCGTCGGAAGCCTATATTTATAGTAAAATAAATTATTCTTTTCTTCAGTATGTTTAGGAAACGAGGTTAAAAACCAATATAGACATTTGGAAATTATTATTTTTGATGAAAAACATTACTTGCAGCAAAAATGTTTTTGAAAGAAGCAGACAATCTAATGTCCGTGACGAGAAACAACGGAAATTACTTCTAAAATTGTCACACAAATATTTTATTGGACTTCAGTTATACCAACTCCGCGTTATATTAAACCCTCATGAACTTGGATTTTTTTTTGGATCATTATTAGATGGGAAAGTTGAATTTTAAAATGGTTTCTCGAAGTGCATATCCGAAACGTTCAACGTCCGTGACGCCCCATTTTTCAGTGTATCTCTCTCTCTCTCCCTCCCTCCCCCCTCCCCCTAAACATTTTATTGTATTTAATGAAACTTTGTGTGAAACCAAAATGTAATGTCCGTGACAGAAAAAAAAGTCCGGTAGTTGGATCGCACATTTTCGGATCCACCATCCGAAAGCTTGAGAGATCCTTATAACCTGAACTTCGGGTCTCATGCAGAAAGTTTTTTTTCCGTGCATGTAAGGTTTATTCGGAGCACCTGAGCGTTTCGATTTATGCCAGATAGAATGATGTAAGTAGGTACTCTCCCTTTAAAGCTGTTCCAGCGGTCATGTCAGTGCGGCTATCGTGCAAGTTAAGATTTTAATTGCCTAGCTAAAACTTTGCAGGCAACCGAGCTTCTTTCTTACTTCCGCCCCTCGATGCAGCATGTTTTTGAGCGCCTTGAAGTCTTACAAGTTCTCAGCGTTTATGCAATCGACCATAGGGCAAGCAACGAGTTTTCATCTGCCAGCTTATCAGCGTGACCTAGAGAGCGAATATGAATATGGCGTGTCTTGATATTTTGACAATATCAATTTATCGGTCAGTTAGCGAATTTTGACGGTAATGCTAAATTGAAGATCCACCTTATCATCGATCCCAGTATTTTGGCGATTTAACAATTTTCGTCTTTCTTTGCTACTGTCCACGACCTAAGTGACGAAATTCGGCGGTTCCCTTTCGAAAGAACGTAACTGCATTTCAATATTGATAAAATTCCCCTCGCAATTTGCATTCTCACCAGAAAAATGTTGAGCATTTCTAACTGGAATTTCCACCGATTATTTCCATAATATTTTGTGAAAATCAGAAATATTTTGGATAAAAATTGCCTAGATACATTCTTCTTCGAAGTTCAATTGGACGTATTTCTATCAAACGGAACTGTGTGCATTAAGACATGAGCCCTGAGACCCATAAGAATATTTGCATAACAGGGCTCACGTCAGAATGCACATAGTTCCGTTTGATAGAAATACGTCAAATTGTGTGAGTCAATTTTGCATTCTTGGAATAGAGTTATACGTTCCTTCGACGACAAACAACGAAAAGTCGCGGAATCAATCAGGCAAAATATCGATAGCTAAAATGCCGAAACGTCGTTTCTCCATTGCGGCGTTTCAAAATTTCAGCATCAGGGAAAAACATCAGGGACTGTCCAATTCTGACTTTACACGAACTTATTGTTTGTATGGGACCAACATGAAATTCATATTTTTACTCGGTGTTGTGAGGTGAATGCATGAAAGAATGGTCAAAAGGTGTCTTATAGAAATTATTTCCTTAGCTGTCACTTTCGATTAACGGCGAGAAATGAAGGCATTCAGTTTGATAAAATGAGTAATCATCGAGGAAAAGGAGTTTTTCCAGAATAGTTTCTTCTCTAGCTGGAAGTCAGGAAGTTTTCTCCGTTTCCTTACGGCATCGCCAAGTGGAGTTAGAACGTCTCTTCTGTGCCCGCAAATAGTCCTGTGAAGTCAAGCGATTTCTCACTACCAGTCAACTGTGCAAAACCACGGCCGGATTCGGGAATCTCTGCTCATTAGGCATCATTTCTGGTGTCTCAAGTCTGCTCCTCTTTACTCCAGCGAAAAAATCGACGTTGCTTTCGCTCTGTAATCCATCTGTCTCTAGACGTTCACAATTATTTGTCAGGTCATTTTAAGCGCTCAGCCCAGTGCTCCTATTCCATGTCCGTCAAAAGTTACGGGATTCGGAACTTTTTTGTTCCAATTTCTCCCACTCCACGACCGTCAAAAGTTCCGGGGTTCCATCTAGATTTTTTTCCAAAGTTCCGGAAAAATCTAAAGCTCCGGAACATTTTGGGAATTTCAAAAGTTCCGGGAAAAAATTCAGGAAAACCTTAAAAGTTCCGGAATTTGGAACTAGTTCCGGGAAATGTTAGCTCTGACTCAACCGATTGGGAGCGCTTCTTGATTTCTGATTCAAAAGGAGGGATGAGAGGTTATCTTACGCGTGTCTTAGGAGGAGAGGGTTCAAAAGTCCGCCTTAGTGCCTAAACGGCTCCTTCAGCGGGAAAATCGACGGAGAATATTGTTAAATCATACATTTTTCTTTTATGGGGCACGTACATCCCTCATAAATGCGGGAATGAAAACTCCTATAGGCTCGTTAACGAGGTGGACGTGCGAGCGCTGAGGCAATAAAAGCGGGTGAACTGGATTTGCACCTATAGATGGATTGCGATTCTCAGGGCGGACGCCCCGATAGGGGCACCTAGTTTAACAGGATCAATGGGTTGCGCTGGAGACATCGCCATTACTCGTTCAAGCATATTCATTCATTGTTGTGTTTCTCGCGGAATGACCTCTCGTATCTCATCCCTCATTCAATCGACCAACACCCCCTTCCCCCCTTTTTTCATCGGTGTGTCTATCGATCATCTCTCGAACTTGTCAAATGTTGCCCGAGCATTATCTATAAACCATATAAGTAGCACATCATCGTTCGCAAACAGTAGAGAAAAGATTCGTGCCATTAACAATATGGCCAGAATTGCCTTGCATTTATATTTCTTAGGCCGGCAAAAAAATCGCTGCATCAAGGAACTGTGCATTACGCAAAGTATTTAATTCGTAATAACAGAAGTTTCTTTGTCGCAACGCAATATTTCTTGTTTTCGCCACTGAAAAAATACATCGCACACAGCGAATAGACTTTCGTTTTCACGAGCAAAATACTCTGCGCATTAAGCCGTTTCGTTGACGCAAAAAAGTCCCTTCTCGACTGAACGAAAAACGACTAGGGGCTGTCTATAAGTCACGCCAAACATATTTTTCAATTTTTCGACCCGACTC